TATGTGACTAACTGTTTATTGATTTGTTTTGATTTTTTTTTAATAGTTTTCCTTTTCTTAAAATACAAAAATGAATGAAATTAACCGATTACTAATATTATTTTATAAATATCTAAATGATGCTAAGTATAAGAAACAATTACCAAATAATTGAAGTGTATTATTTAAAGCAACATAAAATTATTATGTTCGACTATTAATGTTAATATTATAGCTTGGTATATTATTTATGTAATACAACAAATACAAAGAGTAATAAAATAGACACATGTGTGTGTAATTACTAAATAGATCTTTTATGAATACAGAGTTATCTATCCAAGTTTAAAAGGAGAAACATATAAATACAGAGGAAAACATCGATGACATCGAAGATCTATTCGATGTGATAGAGAATAATGGTCTTCTCGAAGTTTTAGCTTTCTCTTTCAATTATGAGAATCATTATTATGTTTCCAGAAGCTATCAGAGGTAAAGATATGATACTCTATAATATACTCAGATAGTTTTGTTGTAGTGTTTCTACTGTTGAAGTTGTATTAATTCAATTCAAAATTTATTTGGTTTCAGCATAGTTTTTAGTTGAATCTACTTAAACTTAATTGAACTATCTTTTTTTTTTTTCTTTTATTATCTTACAGCTGATTCATATATTGTAGAGATATCTAATGTCGATTATAATCTAAGATAGACGTTATTAGAAAGAAGAATCAGCTATGTTTATTGAATATACTAAACATATCGGAAGATAAAAACTGAGGTTCTATTCTATAACCTAATTTCCCTAGTTTTTAGTTAACTAAGTTTTTTTAAAACATTTAGATAAACGATTATAGTTTTCTATTATCTAAACTACCACAAAATTTTAAATCAGAGAACAAACAGAATTTCGAAAATTCAAATACGTTCTTAATAAGTAGAAATTAAGCAGCAAATATCCAAAAGGATCCACAAAACAGACGATAAGTTATAGTTAAATTTTAACCGAAATAGAAAAGTTCAACATCACACCATAGACTTAGAAAATAAAAATAATTAAAATGCAACAGATGTTGATGCATCTCTAGTCGACATTAGTTGCGCAAGTTCCTTGAGTTGAAGACGAAGCCATCATTTTTTTTGTAATCCTGCAAAATATAAATGACGACTCATTTCATCATATATATATATAAAGTTTGAGTTTTTATAAGGTAAAAGGAAGGATAATTTTAATGCTTACTTGTTCCTGAACTTTGAAACTTGATCGATGGGTGGAGCAAGTAGAAAGCGAGAGAAGCCAGTGCTTTCATGTTCATGGATAGTCAGTTCATCTACACAGATAATATATTAATTAAGTACACAAACATTATCTCTATAAATTAATAAAATATCATGGTCCCGGCATTATTAATTTATAGAGGTTTTACTGTATCTTGTTTATCATCCCACATGAAAGTTCAAAACATAATCAGTACGTATTTCATTTCTTCTGCTTCTTCGAAGATGATGTAGCCCCGGCATCATTCTTCAGTGCTCCTTTGGCTTATTTGATTTCTTCTCATTATTCCAAAACCTAGTTAGACAAATAACATATATAAAAAAATAGTTAATGATTTATGTCAACAAATTAGTGAAAAAGTAAAATTGACAAAATAAAAATTATTACATTTTACAAAAGGATTCTGCTACTTCTAACTCAGGGTGAAATTAAAATCCTGTTATTCCACCTCTGCCTTTGAGATATATATTACCTGCAAATGAATGAATGTATTTTATTAACATGTCAACATATTTATAAAAAAACGATATAAAAAGTTGTACTGTAAAACAAACCTCCATCAATTTTTGATACTCCAATCAGTTTGAAGACACAAAGCAGGAATTTGTCTGACATCCCATATTTTGATATTGAAATCAACAGCTAATTGTCCTATGGCATTGCACTGAATCTGCATATCACTACACGAAAAATATGAAGTCTTTAATATTCATATGACAAAAAACTTAAACTATAAAAAACAACATAATGAGCAATGCTTACTTGTGATCCTTCATTGTGAAAGTGATAGAAGTAGTCATTTTGTTATGCCTATTCGGGCAAGTTTGATCTTTTACAACCTTTAGTTCTTCAATACTAATAACAAACCCCAACAGATCTCTATATATATATATATATATGTATAAAAGGACCTAATCAGTTCCATGCAACCTAAATATTATTCACCTATTTCAATAAATATTAAATTTGAAATAAAAGTTAGAATGTTTACCAACAGGGAATTCAGTATCGGTTTTACCTTTAAGGATTTCTGAGAAAGAATAGAAGCCCTTTCCAGATTCCCCTTCCCTTGGTTCAGTATCAGTTATGGTTGTATTTTCCAATAACTGTATAGCCCAACCGATTGGAGAATTTGGTTCTGGTAATGGATCCTCAAAGACTACAAAATCTGTGATAGTCTTCCAGTCACCTTCGTTAATTTCTCTATCATATAACTTTATCAAACCGGCATGATACAAATATGCTTGAACCATATCATCCTGTATAGAAAAATTTTATGTTCCAAAATAAACAATATAAGAAATTTGAAATTATTATAGTTAACAAACCTCTTCATCCATGAGCATCATCTGTAAAGAATCACGATTAGGAGTTCCCTGGTCGATCTATTTATTCAGTACCTTAACTCTGAGGCTCCAACTTGTTCTATAGAGATGCAAATCGTTGATGTAGTCATAAGTAGCCATTACCTTACTGTGTAAATTTGTGTTTAAAAGAGAGTAAAACAATTTAATAAAATGGATGTTACAAAAGTTAAACGGCAAGGATATCTAATTTGGTAGGATATATAATAATTAAATTGATAAATAAAACCCTACACGTTAAAGGGATTGGAAACCGATTATGTAACCAATAAAGTTATGCAATTTACTTTTTTGAAAGATTCATTCATTTTGAAAAAAATGTATATGCATCCGTCAATCAACTGCATTGTTTCTGCTAAATATGCAGTTTTTCTGAAATTGAATATATTTAGGCAAACTCATATTAGTCAAACTAATTATCATGAGATGTATTGAATATAGTGAAATTTTTTTATCATAGGCAATAAGGATATAAAATATATCAAAAACAAAAATGATACATATATTTCCATAAAAAATACATCTAAATAATTAGGCGAGTTAATTCATACATATATTTCCATAAAAAAATTACTTTAGTTGATTCATACATATATTTAGGTAAATATTTATTTACCAAAATGTGTTCTTCATATAGATGATGTTTTTAATTAACGACAGTTACATTGATCTGTATGTAGTATGGTGTTTTAATATTAAATACTTATTATTTTTAGGGGTTTTTGCTAAAAATAACCCAAAACTTGATTTTGAATACAAAAGTAGACCCCTGAAAAAACATTTGACAGATATAACCTACAGGGGTAGTGAAAAAACCATTTAATCCTGTATGTGTAAACAAAAAACGGATGTCCTAATTACCGTTTTCTCCCTGACGAAGTCTATTAAAGTAAAACTGAAGTCTACTATCAAATGAAGTCTACTAAGTAATTAAATCTGTAAATTTAATTTAAAAATTTATAAAAAATTATTTTGGTATGAAATTTACCATCATAAATTCCGTAATCATAACCCAAATGCAAAAAAAATATTTTTTCACATTGGTAAATGGAAATGTATGTTTTTAAATTAAGTAGAAGTAAATTTATTATTTAGGTTTTAAAAGTTGTAGACTTCGATATTGAAGTCTACTAAACCGTAAAAATTAACCTAACGGACATTTAACCGAGATTAAACCGGGAATAACTTCCCTTAACCAAGAGAAACTGCCCTTAACCGGGTAAATTAACCTAGACCCTGGAAAATTAGCAACTTTAACCGGAAAAAACTTACCCGAACCGTACGGAATTACCAGACTATATATACGAATGACAGATCCCGTTAAAAAAAAAAACCGTCGAAAAGTTCGTGTAAAAAAAAAAAACTCGAAGGCGATTTCTGTTTCTCTGCTCCGGCGCCGTCGACATTCAGAACTGCCGCCGATAAACTCGTTCAGGCAAGTTTTCTTTCTCCAACCACACCCCCATGCTTCCCTACTCCTCCGTATTCATCACCGTTCCGTTTTCTAAACCCCCATTTTCCAGATCTGAAATTAGGGGTTTTTTTTTTTTTGCAGATTTGCTTTCGCCGTTGGAGGTTAAAGTAATTTCCTGCCTCAAAACGGTTAGTAGATGTTGTTCCGAAGTTATATACTTAGCAATTCTTAAATTTCTTCTATCTTCCTGTAATTTTTGTTCCGTCGGGTTTGACTTAGGTTTTTTTACCAGATCTGGTTGTATTTTCTCGGCCCCAGCTGCATCTAATAAAGGCGGTAACACTCTAAACTTTGTAGATTGACTTCATATACAGTATTTATCATGTATTGATTGCTTCGGTTGGGTTCTGTAGACTTCATATGTAGTATTTATGATGTTTTGATTGCTTCATATACTGTTTTTTTAATGTTAAGATTGCTTCGGTTGGCTTCAGTAGACTTCGCGACTCGGATTGTACTTAGAATGTGAAAGTAGACTTCATTTTGTGAAAGTAGACTTCATTTTGTGAAAGTAGACTTCATTTTGTGAAAGTAGACTTCATTTAGTGAAAGTAGACTTCTTTTTGTGAAAGTAGACTTCTTTTACTGAAAGTAGACTTCACATATTGGGAAAGTAAACTTCATTTTGGGAAAGTAGACTTCATTTTGGAAAAGTTGACTTCATTTAGTGAAAGTAGACTTCTTTTTGTGAAAGTAGACTTCTTTTACTGAAAGTAGACTTCACATATTGGGAAAGTAGACTTCATTTTGGGAAAGTAGACTTCATTTTGGGAAAGTTGACTTCATTTTGATAAAGTAGACTTCATTTTGAAAATGTAGACTTTATTCGGGTATAGTTTCAAACTGTTACTAGTTTTTCTCATTAGAGCTTTGTTACCGTTGATGCAGGAATCTTTGTTAGATAATGGCCTCTGAATTCCCCAGAAGACTTTACACCAAAGGGTTTGAGCCAGTCCCGGATAAAAGCATCGGCTATTACGCTGATGATTATAGGCTGGTCCCTGCACTAAAGTCAGCTCTAGAGGAGGATGAGATTTACGAGTCACCGTTGGGTGTCTTTTTAAAGTTCCACGAGTTGGATTTTGGTTGGGCTTCTAGGCTGGTGCACCACATGCTGACCTTTCAGATAGTTTGCAAGCATAGGTACGAGATATGGAGCCTCATTGGTACCACTCCAATTCAGTTTTCATTGCATGAGTTTGAGGAGATCACCGGACTCAACTGCGAGTACGTGGATGACTTGGCTTTAACTGATCTTGCGCTTGAAGATGACACGCGTGCATTTTGGGAGCTAATGGGGGTCGATGCCGAGTCGGGCCTAAGCACTACCGAAATTATCGAAGCCTGTTCCAACTGCTCATCATGGTCTCGTGATGATAGGCTGCGGTTGGGTTATCTTGGGATCTACGCTGGTTTCATAGTGGCAATGAGACCCGGCTCATCCACAAATGTCAACCATGCCAGACTAGTGATGGATCTCGAAGGTTTTAAGGAGTTTCCATGGGGAAGAATTGCTTTTCAGCATTTGATCAATTCTGTTAAGGAGAAAGATCTCAGCAAAAACATTCATATAGAAGGATTTGTGCAAGCTCTTCAACTGTGGGTTTACTCTGCTCTACCGGATTTTGCTGCTGAATTTGGTGAACCATTTCCAAATGTTACTGAAGAACCTCTTTTGCTGGCTTACAAAGGATCCAGAGGACGAAAGAACGTCAAAGCCAACATGCTAAAACAGGTACTGTATTAGTGTAGTAGACTTCTATATAGTAATGAGTTTTCAATGTAGACTTCAGAAGTAGACTTCATGTGTAGACTTCTATATGTGTCATTAATAGTGTGTGACATTCAGGAGTAGACTTCTGTGTTAGACTTCTATGTAGTACTGTATTAGTGTAGTAGACTTCTATGTAGTAATGAGTTTTCAATGTAGACTTCAGAAGTAGACTTCATGTGTAGACTTCTATATGTGTCATTAATAGTGTGTGACATTCAGGAGTAGACTTCTGTGTTAGACTTCAGGAGTAGACTTCTATGTTAGACTTCAGGAGTAGACTTCATACGTAGTTTTCCGAGGCTTCATATGGCTCTAAATCCATTTATTAATTGTGTTTTTCCAGGCTCGCATACAGTCCTGCGTGGCTAAGGACTTGGCAGATATGTTTCCCGTGTGGGATGATGACGAACAGGATCCAGATATTGTCAAGATTGTCAATGCACTCCATGACCCCAATTTCAAGTTCTCAAAAAACCATTGGCCTTTGGAAGGTGTTTTGGGTGCACACATCGTCAAGTCAGAAGCCGGAAAGAGGAGCCTTCCCTCAGATGAATCAAGTCGCAAGAGATCCCGCACAGCCTCTGCATCTGCCGCATCATTCATTGGTGATGAAGGGGTCGGAGTTGTCGCTACTATGAAAGCGCACTTCGACCAATGCTTCAAAAGCTTTTCAACCAAGATGCTGAATGGTCTTGGTAGCTGTGAAAAGCAGATCAAACTTCTCACCGAGAAGGTTGAATCTGTAGAGCGTGCGGTAGAAGAGTTGACTACAGGGTCGGCGAAGCACACTGAGGAAGAGCCAACCCAGCAGCAGGGCACTGGATCCAAGAAGCATGAAGGGATTAGTTCCAAAAACCCTCCGCCTATACGAAAACATTACATGCAAACAAGATCACACAAAGTTAGGAACACTTAATACTAATGTCATTTGAATTCGAACATGTTTACTACTGTTATGTACCATGTGAGATTATTTACTTATGTTTTCAAAACTTGTTGTTTACAATTTTCAGACTATGATAAAACATGTTACTAAATTATAGCATTGGTGTACTCATTTGTATATTCATGCATGTTTCTGACAATAAACTGCAGAGTAATTCAGAGAAAGATGATGCTCCGATGAAAGCTAATGTCAACGTTGGTGCGTGTGAGAGTGTTAACGCCCCCGGGGATGCAAAAGGAAAGAAGGCTGCCGTGAATGAAGAAGAGGCCCCAGAGCCTAGTATTTGTGAAATTGACCCAAAGACGTGTGATGTTGACTTCGACGCGGTTGCACTTGCCAAAAATGCCAAAGCCAGAGAAGCGGCTCAGCTAGTTGCCCGAGCAACGAGTGCCAGACACCGCCAGCTGGCTGCGACACAGAAGAGTCCCTTCTTAGGAAACAGCACCGCAAAGGCCATCATTCCATCGTCGGCATCTCACTCTGGCCGTGCCCGTGGATATGATCCTTTTGATCAAACCGGTGTCAGGACGAAGCATACCACTCTAATGAACTTTATCAAATCGGTAGGGTATGACCAGGTTGCTTGCATTGGGAGCAGCTGTATACTTTGTGCAGCTTCCTTGGCTTCTTGCTTTTCCTCCTAGCAATTTCTAGCCATGATTGCCACCGAGACTTCTTCCGTCTGCCTGGTGCACGGCGAATGTCTGGTGGCAGACATATTGATGTTGGTCCTCCTTGGACCTCTGAAATTTGGGGATATATGTTGGCAGAGTATGCGGCAAACAAGTAGTTTTTTTAGTAAGTCGGACATACAAGGGAATCCACAGCTACACCACCGGCTAATGCAGCTGCAATAGCATGTGAACATGGGATCTTCTCGATATAAAACACACCACATTCACACATTCCATGTTCCAAATCAATAATACAATTCCTGGTTCCTCCTTTCACATAGTATCTCCAAGTGTCAATTCGGTCCACCTCCATTGCATCTGCATAATGTCCACGAATCGCCAGCAAATACTCCACTCCCCGAGTATTATGTGTTGTGAGACTCAAAGCATCCTCTCTGCGTTTTAAAAACCACCGACCAAGCTTCTCGTATGAAATCCAAGAGGAATGAAATGGGATATCCTCGGGCCTTCTTAAGTGCAGCATTTATAGACTCTGCGACATTGCTAGTCTTAATATTGTATATGTCTCCAACAAAATGAACTCGGGACCAAAGAGAGACATCGGCTTCTTCCAAATAGTCAGCAAGGTCAGGCTTGATCTGTCTCAGCTCCGCCATGTACCGGTTGTAGTCATAGAGGTTGTAAGCATAAGCCACACGTTTAACCAAGTACAACAGCTGCTTCCCCCTAAACTTTGTTACTATGTTATGTTGTAGATGGTAGTAGCAGATCCCTCGTTTTGCCCATGGGAAAATAGTTTCACAAGCTTTCTTAATAGAAATATGTCTGTCAGAAACTATCACCAAAGGATAACCATCTGAGACACATTCACGCAGTTTAGAAAAAAACCATTCCCATGAAGCATCATCTTCACCATCAACAATTCCAAAGGCCAAAGGAAAAATCTGAAAGTTTCCATCTTGTGCGGTGGCAACCAACAAAGTACCCTCGTATTTCCCTGTTAGATGACAGCCATCAACCACAATAACTCTTCTCATGTACTGGAAACCAGCAATCGATGCTCCAAATGCGAGAAATAGATATTTGAATTTGTTATTCGAATCTACATGAAGAGCTGATACAGTTCCCGGATTGGCTTTGTTCACTGAATGTAGGTAAGCTGGGAGACTCGCATATCCATCTTCAGCTGTTCCTCTGACCAATTGTTGGGCATATATCAAAGATCTGTAAGAGGTAGTGTAATCCATCCTGATGCCAAACATATGCTTCATTGAAACCCTGACATGTTCTGGTGTAAGTCCATCAATTATGCCGAAATAGCTTATAAACAGCTGGCCAATATACTTAGGAGTAGACTTCCCACGGTGAGCCATTCGATGGGCTATTGAACATGTGTGGTCTTTCACATATTTTGTCACCCAAAAAGTGGATGCATCATTCTTCACGCTCGCTCTAACCATCCATGCACATCCTTCCACTCGACATTTAGCCACAAACAGGTTCTTGGTAGACTTCTGTGTTTTAAAAGCAAATTTTAACATTATGGCAGTCAGTCTAACCTCTGATAACAGCTTCTCTTTTGTAGAGAAACTTGCCCCAACATATATATTATCAGACCATGACATGGGCGTGCTCCCTGTTTCACCATATCGGGTTCTGACCTTTTCAATACAGACTTCATCTTCATCATCATCTTCATCTTTCACTTTTCCGTAGACACTGTAATCTTCTCCGTCAGAGTAAGCTGCATCGTCGACATCTTCTCCATCGTCGTTCACATCAGAACTGTCTGCCTCATCATCGGTTGAATGTTCTGAATTTTCCTCAACATCTTCACCAAACTCTTCATCTGATCGTTCCTGGTTCTCCTCAGTATCCATCTCCACTCGACAGGACACACAAAGGTGTAACAAATGTACTCTGCTTAACGCAATCAAGCTTGAAACTTGTCTATCATTGGTGACATGCATTGGAGGTGTATCTGGAGCCATATTTTGCAACATTGAGACTGGTAGTGCGTAGGTTAACTCGATGATCTCAGTCCTCTTGCCCAAGTTATAATCATCTCGCGCCATTTCAGTAAGCTGCCCAAAGGTGCAACCATCGTTCAAAAACCACATTCTTCCACCTTTGCCAATGTCAACAACAAAATGCCATGAATTCTCCTTAAACTTCCACTCACCGTACACAACTGGAATTTGAGCCATCCTCTGAAAAATAACCATATAAACCGTATTAGCAAACACTGCATAGAGACTTTTTGTATCAAAGTAGACTTCACGATGAAGTCTATTTTGATAAGCTGAGTACCTTAAAAATCGAAAATTCTGATTCAACAAGACATATTCAATGAAACGGAATAAAAAACCCTAGGTAGTTCAATCACTAATTAATAAACAATTGTAAACAAAAAAATTTGAAATTTTTTTTTATAGATTTGCTTAAATGGCGTTTTTACAAAAACGTCTAAACGTAGACTTCTAGTGCAGACTTAGAACGTAGACTTCACTACGAAGTCTACTTTTATAAGCTAAGTATCTTAAAAATTGAAACTTCTGATTCCACCATGAATATCCAATGAAATGAGATAAAATTCAATGGGTAGCTCAATCACCTAATAAGAGGCAATTCTGAACCAAAAAGTTTGAAAAATATTTTATACATTTGCTTAAAACGCGTTTTAAAAAAAAACATAGGAAAGTAAACTTCTTATTTAGACTTCGAATGTAGACTGGAGGAGAAGTCTACTTTTTCATTGAGAAGTCTACTACTGAAGTCTACTAAAAAAAAGGTTATTTTTGCAATTGACCATTCCGTTGACTTTCCCTTCAGTAGACTTCAGGTGTAGACTTCAGGCAAAAAAGGTTACTTTTGCATTTGACCACCGCATTGACTAACACAGTAGACTTCTATTGTAGACTTCATGTAAGAGTAAACTTCTCTGGCAGTCTACGTTTGAAGTCTACTTTTTAAATAGAAGTCTACGGAACAAAATAGGTTACTTTTGCAAATGATTTTTTTTAGTAGACTTCACAATGAAGTCTACTCAAAAAAAATATTCCTTCTAAGTTTGACCGAACACAATAGGTAGACTTCACTGAGAAGTCTACAGTTTGTAGACTTCTTTGTGAAGTCTACTGAAGCTTTTTGAAATTTTTAAAATTTTTTTATTTTTGAAAAACATAAGTCAAACACAAAAATGACCTATACGTTTTTTAGTCAAACTACAAAAGTAACTTAAATGTAGACTTCGTGTGCAGACGTAAACAGTAGACTTCAGTTAGAAGTCTACAGTAAAAAGTCAAAATACAGTCAACTACAAAAATAACCTCTTTTCTTTCGTAGACTTCTTAAGCCGTCAGATGAAATCTACTATGAGTTTTTTTTTGTTTTCAAAGGATATCGAGTAGACTTCTCGTGAGGTTTAAAGAAGTCTACTTTTTAAAAGTCAATTGCAAAAATAACCTTATGTTGACTCATAGACTTCAGTATAGTTCACGAGAAGTCTACTTTCGCGATATAAAAACTGAAATGTGGAGAAATTGAAGTGCGAGGATTACCTTTGACAAAATTGAGCTCCCCTAAGTTTCTCTTATATACCCAGAACTTAGGATTTCACTGAAATTAAACAACCCAGGTGTCGAGTAAACCAGAATTCACCGCAAAAGGATGGCGCGAAGCATTGCAACTATGCCCAGATGTTTTGGAGAAGAAATTATGATAGAATGAGCAAGGTTATGAGTGAATGAGCTTAGATATTTGTTTTATTACAGCTATAAAACAGGTTGATAAGCATTTATTTCATTTTCATGGTTGTTCATGGTGGTTGAAGGTATTGAAGACGATGGCATTCTCGTAATTAAAAAGTCTTTAGAAGGTCCAAGAAGATTTTAGCCAATTAAAGAAAAATCGATTTATTAGATGTATAATGGCATTTTCGATAATAGTTTAAGTGGGAAGGATAAAATTGTGAGAAAATAACAAAAGTTGGAGAGAGAAAAAAAAGAGGTTAGTTTTGTGTTTGACTTTGAAATATGGGTTAAATCTGAAACTCTCCCTTATTTTTATATGTTTTGTCTTCTAATTCATTAATTTGTTAATTCAGAAACATCAACTTGGAAAATTTACATAATATTTGTCTGAATAATTTTTCACTTTAAAAGTTATTATATGATAACTTTTACTGAAATAAAACCAACTATTATTGAGGTAGACAAAATAAATAATATCATAAAGGTCGATGGAACAAATATCTTAAATAATACAAATAAAATTAAATTCTAACAGATAATCTAATTTGATATGTATCTGCTAAATTATTTTGAAATAAACGTCTTATTCATGCTGCATGCATGGGCTTATTTATAATTATGCATAGTTCAACAAACATATATTGTTAATATCAAAAAACATAAAATTCTTAATACAGTAAAATCTCTATAAATTAATAATGTTAGGACCACAAAATTTTATTAAGTTATCGTGATATTAATTTATCTATAAATTAATAATTATTAATTTATAGAGGAAACTTATTTTTCACCAACCTTCTTCTTAATTTTTTTTTTCAGATGATGTTATATTTAAGAATCTAAACTCATATGCTTATAAAATGACATATAAAATTTGAAAATTATGATTACTAATCATAGCAATCGCAATAGAATAGTTGTTTATATTTGTTATTATATTTGTTAACTGTGGACTGATCTATATAAGAATATAAATGTTTATTACTACAAAATTTATTAAAAGGTTATGGTTATTATTCTTAATGTTGGTGCTGAAATTGAAGATAATACCATAATATATTTTAAAATAATTATGCGTTAAAAAATCAATTATCATATCTAAATTTTTTTTCACAAATTTTGAATGGAGATAAAGAAAACAATATTATAAGCTATTAATGTAAATAAATAAAGAGGTGATTTTATATAAAATTTCAAATAAAAATGAAGAACACATTAAACATATTTTAGTATATTATATTTTATCTATATATATACATAAGAAGGTAATTTAAAGACAACCGGTTTTCTACTCTTTCTGAAACTTTTCTTTCGTGTTCTTCGTTTTCTTTTTGGCCGGTGCCGCGTTAATCCGACGTCGGTACCGTGCTGTAAATGCTTCTCGGAAAATAAATTCCGGCAAGTCCGGATCTGTGTAAAATAGTTTTGTTTTGTTTCTAGTTTTTCCGGCGTTTGTTCGGATCTTTTGTTTCTGTTATCGGATAATAATTTCCGGCAAAGACCGGTACAAAATTCCGACATGATCGGATTTTTTTTGCCCTATCTTCTCCGATGTTTGGTTCCTCTTATAAATGAGGCGGTGCTTCAGATCCATTGGTGGGAGTTGTGATTTCACTTCATCAAATGTTAGTATCATCCTCTCTTGACTGGAAGATAGTTCTTCCCTGAATCCCTATGTTCGCCTTCAAGGTAAAGGGATGGGTTTTGAGATAAAGATGGTCGGTGGTGGAGAATAATGATGAAGTTAATTTTTCAACATTAACAATCGCTGGATTTTAATGGAGAAGAAAGAATTTGGCAAAGGAGCAGCAGTTAAAAGGAGGATGTGAATCCGATTGGAGTTTATTCAGAAGACTCTTCGGATATCGGCTGTTAGGCGAAGCTCTGAACGGCGATGAGATCGGCGGCATCTTCTCACCGGCAGTCAACATTCAACCCAAGAGTTCCACGTGTATTCCACGTGTTGTTTAATACTCAAACCTTATCTCATAGGTTTTGGATATTATTTGGGCTTATTTTTGTATCTTGGGCTTTTGTAATTGCTGTAACTTGCCTTTGGGCGTTCGATATAATCGAATTGGACGACAAAAAAAAAAAAATCTATATATATACATTAATTTATATAATTATTCATTTATGTTTATGTTAGGACCATATATTTACATAGGGGTTTCAAAAAAATTATTATTTTATTATCTTATCGAATTTGATGGATTTTTACACTGGCTCGACTCGAGAGCAGAAAAATTTATTAATTTATAGTGATTATTAATTTATCGAGTATTAATTTATAGAGGTTTTACTGTAGTATGTGAATTCATCAGTTCTGATATAAATAAAACGCAAGAGAATCAGGATTACCTATTTAAATTAATAATATAGGGTGCACCTCCTACCATTGAAACATGTCCTACTGACTATAAATTTTCGACATAAAAAAACGATCATAAAATTCAATAATTGTTCATAATGAGATTTAAAAATATGATGATATATGTAACATACGCACCCTCAAAATGATGAAGTGGTTTAACCGTGGTAGAGATGATGAATTGAATCATTTTGTTGTATGATCGAACGGTGTTACACGATTGTATTTGAATTACAGCAAAATCATCGATTTCAGACCATGATCCCTCAATCAGTAAACAATCATACTTCTTAATGAATTTCTTTGTAACTCTGTCCTGAATCTTATTACCCTGACAGAGAACATAAAAATCAGTTATTAGGCATTCGGTTAACAAAATATATAAGTAGATTCTATGATAGATATCATATTTTTACCTCGATATCTATCATATTCATATCAAGAGTAGTCTCTTGATGTCGAGTGTACTGCTTCCACTTCTTAATTAGTTTAAGATGCACAGTCTATTCTGTGGTAGACTGATCAATCAGGAATTTTGTCAATAAGAAGAGACATTTTGTTTTCTCTTGAAGTCTGATTTAGAGAATGAGAGTCTATATGTAAAAGATAACTATATATATATGAATAGGAAAGGATTTCACGTTTTAGGGTTTTATTGATATTAACTTAACTAATAAGAAATATATTAGGTAACTGAAAGATTATGAATCAACCAAATATTTGTAAATCTTGATTATCTTAAATACAAAAATACGTAATAAAATGTCATGTACTATTCTCTGAAATTATAATAACAAAGATCATATATATATATATATGGATACTATATCAATCATTCAGTATCTATACAAACTTTCATAGCATATTTTATTTAAAATCTCAGAGAATATATCAATCATTCAGTATATATATAAAATCACTAAGTTCTTAATGATTTTATCATGTAATACATAAAAAGGTCATTTCCATTATTTGGGAAAAATATATTACAAAAAATATCATAGTATCCGAATTACAATTGTGTGAAAGAAGGTAGAAATACGTAAAAGGTAAAAAATGTAGAATGATTAGTGCTTCCAAGGAA